CTGGCCCAAACAAGGTTGAGAACCACTGCTCTAAACACTGATGCACAGCAAATAAGTCCTGTCTGTAAACTTCTTTCTAGCCCAACTGGTCATTACTCTTTAACACTCTCAATTAAGTGAACCTGTTCCTCAGTCAGCTCCCCATCACTGGGTACTGAGTGTACAGTATTTCCATGAATGAAGCCGGGCTGGATGTAATGTACAAAGCATTGAGATTAACACTTGAAGAAGTGGATCATTAACCCTGCCAAGAGATGGACCTTTCAGCCACTGTGTGAATGGTTAATCTGGGTATTACGTGATTAGATTACTGCTGTGCACAGCTAAAGAAAAGCGACTTGATCCTCTGGGAGAGAAATCCTGGAAAGTCAAGTTTTGTTCAAGGAGACTGTGGCTCAAACTTTTAAATATGCTGAGGCAAAAAAAGCTGTAGAAGAAAAGAGGAAGCAAACCAGAAGGGTGATAGTGTTTCTGCATCCATTCTACACTGTTTTTAGGTGTACGGGGCACCAGATCAGTGTTTCCTGATTCACCCTTTATAAATCAGAATCATTTGAGATCGTGAGGTTCAGGGGAACATTTTTCATAAGCAATGATACTCATTGATAAAGTAACAGTAATTTACTGTAGAAATAGAAAAATCAAACACCACTGAATAATGAATATAAATAGTAAAAGATAAAAGACAAAAGTAATAAAGGACCAATAAAGTAGACGATGTTATTTAGTCTATGTTTAGGTAGAGGTTGATATTTAACCCTTTTAAGAAGGAGCAATACATTTTCCTAAGGAAAAATTTTTGTCTTCTGTTAGGTAATTGACAAATCACCCAGTTTAAAAAACTATAAAGTTTTGTCAATTTGGAGAGAAGGATTAAGAATCTGGTCAGGTTATTTAATTTTACTGCCGATAAGAAGCAATATCAAAATGCCTCAGGCCATTAAAATACCCAGAACTGTTTTGTGAGGAGAATTTTTGATGCCTTAAGAGAGCTACAGTTCGAAATGCTCACCGATTGTTGGAGGTGCCAGATTGTCTCAGTCAAGTTGACAACTTCAAGTGGGGACTCATTCAGAACTGCCCAAGAGGTCATCACGGAGAGGTCAGGCTAAGTTCTGGCAGGACAGCGTGGCTCAGTCAGCTTCACCATTTTCAGACCCCAGATCGGGGATCTGCTCGAAAGCTTTTCTGCAGCTTAAATTAAATAAACTACCTTTCCCTCAGACGGTCAGCGCATCCATCTGATGATGTTGCTCTATTCCTCTGTCACAGCTGCTTATAGCTGGGTGTTATGACTAGACAGAAATAAAATAATAAACCGTTCAGGGTCAAACTGCTACAGATGCCAAGTATGTCTTTTGAAAAAAGAAAGAAAACAGGACTGAAAAGAAAACAGGTTCAACAGAATGATCACTTTAATAAAAACATTTAAAAAAATCATGCCGCAGAAACGTAATGAATCTTTTCTTTATGTAATTAATCACAAAATATTAAAACAGACTATTGTGACAGCTTGATCTCCGTGAAAAGGACAGATTAATGAAAAGCCAGACCAGAGTTTGACTTTAAGAAAACCTTTCAAAACAGAGTTTGGTTTAAGATAAGACATGACCTGTAGGGTCAAGAGGCCTTGTTAGAAGAGAGGTCCTTATGCAAACCTGAATTTAGTAATACAAACCTTTGAGGGACAATTTTAAAAGGGATCTTATGCAATAAACA